GGGTGCTTACAGGGCTGTTCTAAAAACCACTTCTGTGAGAACGCACCCTGTCTAATGATTATTATCTATCTCATTATCTATCTAAATGGAAAACGTCTACTTTTTTAATCTTTCAAGATTATCATTGGCTTCTTTTGCACCCAACACTATTCTTAGCAACAAAGGTCGCCATTTTGTTTGTTTATCAGTCGCCAAAAACTATCAAATGCATTCAAAAGCCTAAAATACAAAAAAGTTTATAGGAATCAACAGATCGAGTGAGCGAGTGAGCGCCATTCATCACATCATACCTACAACTCGCTCTTGCCCACTCGCAGTTCACAAGTTAAAAAGGCAACTAGCTGTTTTCAGCCAAATAAGAGTGTAATTTTTTAGGCATATCAGTGCTGTGATGAACTAACCAAAACCAAACTAGTAACTGAAAAGAGTTGTGGTCTACCAAATAAAGGCCTAATACACATGTATTGCTACCAAGTTTAAATATCAATGCTTATCTGAACCATTATGAAGAGAATTTAAAAGACTGCCTAGCTTACAGGAAGTCATGAAATGTTAAGGTCTGAATAATTCTGGGCATTATTTGGAAAACATAATACTAATCACATTTCAGTAGCAACATTAAACTACTAGGCTCCTATTCATATTTTGTGACTGAGTTTCAATGTACTACTTCCTCAAAGTTTGGAATCAATCATAATACCCATTTAGCACCAAGGTTATCTTGTTAACACCAAACCGCAGTTTCAGGTTAGTAGTTTGACATTTGTGAAATGGTTTAGCTATGTAAACATGAAAGAATAATTTTATTTGAAGAGGCCGTCATATTGAATTTCCAGACAGCAGCAGTGTTTGATTTTCAAATGGCAAAAAAGTCCTTTTTTCACTCATTGGCTAAAAATTGTATTTAAGCACGACCTAAAAAGACTGGTTAAGTAATTTTCTTATTGAGCATGTGGTATGAACAGAAATTCAGGATAAAAAATGTTCCAAAAAACGACTTATGTGAAACGTGACCACACTGCTTAGTCACATGAATTCTAGCAGTACATAAATTGGGTAAACCAAAACACTACTTCATTCCACAGTTTGTATTGTCCAACAACTTGTTTCAATGCTGGTAAATAAAGGACACTTCACTGTAACAACAATGATGAATGAATAACTAGATAAAAAAAATAATCTTCAACAATGTTTCACCCATAAATACACCATGACCACTTTCTGAAGCTTTAAAGCTTATCTAACTTAGCCGAGCATGGACTGGAACCTATCCTTGACGATAGTAAACCATGTGACAAGCACTCTGGATCATTACATAGTGCAGTTTACAGGTCACGTAAACCACACAATAATGGAACATATTTTTCATTGCCTGAAGTGGCGAATAGGCCCTTTGCAGCTAGGAGGTCACGTGCCTAGCAACGCCGAATTGGAGAGCAAGCTCTTCTGCGACGACAAATCGAATGAGTGTCTTGAGCATCACGCGTATGTATATCTGAAAGGCGGTTATTTTGAATTCAAGCGGTAAATACCATTCCATCTCTCAAAATCCAGTAAGTTTAGCATATAAATATAGCTTTTAGCACATCTTCAAATCGGAAAGGTTAATATTAACTGGGATCGCGGCAAGAATATCAGCGTCAAGTCGACTACGAGTTACAAACATGGCTTCTCCTCCAGGTATGTAGAATAGATCTTGTCTTCTTCCTGCACTTTGATAGCGACGTTTGGACGATTAATACAAGTAAAAAGAAAGAAAATACAGTAATTCACTACGCCTTAGGGTTTAGAAGCTGTTTACTTTTGAAAAACATAGAATTTTGGCTGCTTATTCCCCTCAAGACTATGGTGTCGGAACCAACAAGCGTTGTTTTCATTGTTGTAGATATCGATATGGACGAGTCAGTTGAACAATCCATTACGGGCAGAAAAAATTCTGCATACCATTGCTGTGTTCCCCTATGTAATGGGGATTCAAGGTACCACGAAGATTTGCGTTTCCATCGCATTCCCGGTCGTACCAAGGATGAAAAGTTGAAGAAGGAATGGCTGGTGAAAATCCGAAGAGACGAAGGTCCTGACTTCAAGGTATTTTATAGAGACATTTCGATTTTCAAAGCATTTGGCAAGGATTTGTTCGGTCAACTTGTGTCTAATGGCTTATAAATTTTCCCATTTAGATAACAACTAGTACGAGAGTATGCTCAAGGCACTTTACCAAGGAAGATTACCTTCCCCCCACCAAGTCTGGTAGCCAGCGACTGAAAAGAGGTGCTGTTCCATCGAATTTTAACTGGAATTCCTCCTTCAAAGCACGAAGAAAGATTATTCGACATGTCGACAGGTAATATATTCTTTGGTTATGTTTTAATGCATCGTTGAGTTTATGAGGTTACAATGATAAGTCTAGACTAGAATGCTTCTTTCTTATTTTTAAATACTGTATCAGTTTTGGATAAATATTAACTGCTATTGAAAGCATTTGTGAAACCTTGTAGAAGGGATGTATGGTTAAAAAGTATATATACAGACCTCAGGTTCTTCAATTTCTAGAAGGATGTAATTGTTTTAAAATTTAAAATTATGTAAACTATATGAGTATATTAAATTTTTTGGCTTTCTTTGCAGAGATACTCAAACAGATGATAGTGACACTGATGGAGTGGAAAGTGAAGCAATGCAAAGCAGGGAAAGTGTGGAAACAGAGGTGCAGTCTCTGAAGGCTCAGCTTCTGGCCATGCATGGAGAGCTTGAGGCGAGCAGAAAGGAAGCAGCTGCAGCTAAAGAAGAGCTAAGAAATGTCAAGGCTAAAGCAACATTAAGTAAATTTGGTCTGGAGAGATTTGGTCCAGACAACGAGAGTATAAAATTTTACACTGGCTTTCCCACAAATGAACATATTAAGCTTTTTTTTAATTTTATTAAACCCAGTGCTGAACTAATGACCTACTGTTATGCCTCTGGAGAGAGAGAAAACAGACCAGCCTCCAGAAATATGCTTCTAATAGATGAAATGTTTATGTTTCTTGTTCGGCTTAAACTTGGATTATTTGAGCAAGATCTTGCTGATAGGTTTGCAATTCATATATCATCAGTCTCTAGAAAATTGGTAACCTGGTCCAATTTTTTGTATTTTTTTCTTGGAAGTCAAATCATTTGGCCCTCGAGGGCAGATGTAGATAGATGCATGCCTGAGGGTTTCAGAGAACTCTATCCTAGCACCAGAGTGATTTTAGACTGCACAGAGATTTTTGTGCAAACACCCACATCCCTGTTGTTACAGTCACAGCTGTACTCATCCTATAAGAGCAACACAACTTTGAAAGGTCTTATTGGAATCACCCCTCATGGAGCAATATGTTTTGTTTCCACTTTATACACTGGAGGGATTAGCGACAGGGAAATCACAAGATGTAGTGGTATTTTAGACCTCTTAGAAGCAGGAGACTCAGTGATGGCAGATAAGGGGTTTGATATAGGTAACATGCTACAGGAGTATAATGTTGAGTTAAACATCCCTCCTTTTCTGGAAAATCAAGGGCAGTTTTCAACTCAAGATGTGCAAAAAACCAAAACTATTGCAAGCCTTAGAATACATGTAGAACGTGCCATCAGAAGGGTTAAGGAGTATCACTTTTTGGATTCCGATGTTCCTCTTTCAACTTTAGGTTCAGTTAACCAGCTCTATTCTATAGCCTGTCTTCTAACAAATTTTCAAGGTCCCTTAATCTTATCAAAGTGACAACATTACAATGTAGTGCACTCATTTGGATTAGAAGATCATTCAGAAGGATTAAATATTTAAACTATTACAAAAAGTGTAAGTAGTCATAATGAGTCTTGGTAAATTTTAATTGTTATTATAAGGTGTCAACTGTTACTGGATATAGTATTTCTGAATCAATTGCTCTTTAAACATAATATTGGACATTTTTGGTGTTTTTCTTTTAAGTTTGGTTAATTGGGGGATTACCACATATATTTAATTCTTGAATTTGAGTATGATGATGCAAGTAAATAACAAAACCTTGGCTAAAAGAGCTAAAAAATACTAACAAGAAAGTTAGGTCACATTTCTGTTTCTGCAAAAAAATGCTCCATGCATTCCATGGGTCAACATCACCTCATCCCTCATCCTGACATTATCTGGTTGGCACCAATTTTAGAAAAGTTTTTAAATCTAATATAGTTGTACACAAATTAGAGCAAATATAGAATGGGTTAAAAGAATATTGAAGCTAAATCTTTTCATAACAAATACAGTCTTGAGAGTAAGCAAAGACTAGAGGCAAATCAGCTTAGATAGTAATTGAAAAAAAAAATGTCCACCTTATCTTTAGCCCCTTGGAAAAAAATGGGATCAAAAAGGATTCTTGTGCAGACAAACATGTCATCATTCATGTAACTGAAAAAATCGCACCAGTCTAGACCAGTGAGGCCCAACTGGCACTGGACTTGGTAATAATAAATGTCACTCTTCTTTAAAGAATACTGGTTAGTATTATCCTTGGTAAGATATCTCACATCATCAAATGAGGTTGCCCCCTCCCTAACAACTTTAACCTCCAGTAAACCAAAGGGGTTCTGGTCACTACCAAGGGCATCCAAATCATAAACTTTCCGGTCAGGGCTGCAGCCTAACCATGGGCATTTAGGATTTATAATTAATCCTGATGGGAATAAATTCACTCTGCCATTTTTTGCTACATTAGCATAGACTGTTGCTGCATGGGGTTCAAGTTCTACACCCCTCTTCATTGCTGGAGTTTGAACAAATCTTGCCGGGTTCAGCTGACTTACAAGGTTTTCAAAATTTGAAACTCGCCGGGCAACTGTACCAAACTTGCTTGCTGTTATCCGCTTCTTTCGCAAAAGACGCCAAGTCTCGCTTAAACTTTGAGTAATTGTTTCTTCTTGTACCCTGAGAGAAATCTCACTTGTGACAGAAAGAGAGTCAAATAGGGCTTGCTGGTTTGCCTCCAGGCACACAGACACATTATTTTGAAATCTATCATTTGCACTCTCAAGTGGTAAATCTGGAAATGCAGTGCAGGTAAAATCATTTACTAAATAGTCTGCAGACATTTTTTGTTGATAAGAAATCAAACACCCTTTGGGGACATTTCCAAATTTGCTTGGGACAAATGAAACAGATCTCAGGTCCTGCTCAGAAGGAACAATGGTTACAAACAGAGGCTTTGGCTGTAGACTGTTAAAATGCTCTTTAGTCATTGTTCCATATATTGGTGATGGGGAGTACAGGTTGCTTTTGATGTATTTGTTGAAGGATGCGCCTAGCTGAGGCTTCTTCACAAGTACATTTTGAATTTGCTTTGCTTCAATTTTTTTCCCCCTAGGCACACTCCAGCGCTGCTTCATGCTGGTGCATGTTAGATCATCTGGCAGAGTTCGATGCCCCAGTTGTTTAAGTAAAGCCAGATAATAGAGAAGCCCTATAACATGATGGCAATACCCTCCTGATCCAGCCACACAAGAGCACCTTCCAGACAAAGAATTATTAGCCATGCTTGAAGAAACTTCCAAGGAATGAGGTGGCTCGTTCTTCTTCATCGAACGAAAACATTTCGATGCAATTTTCACCGCGTCGTTGGCCCGTATCACTAAAACATTAAAACATAAATATAAGATTCTGATTGAGAAAAACAAATAAGAAATACTCGATTTTATTACTGACCTTTAATCTCGTGTAGATATCCAGGTTCTGCCATAAACTTGTATGCCTTCGCTGTGCTAGTGCATCCAGACATTTTTTTTGCATATTGGCCGACATCATCGAAGGTCAGCGAGGGAAATATTGAAAGATCTTGGCTCTCTTCAGCTAAAAAAAGCAATAAAACAAGAACATGAGCAACATAAGTCTAACGATTTGGTAAAAATCTTCAAATTCATACGATCATTAAATTGGGCGAGTAATATCTCTGTACTTCTAGTGGTGAATTAAACAACTTTGTTGGTTCTATCATCATAGTTTCAGGGGAAATCCATGGCCAAAATTCTATGTTTATCGGTAGTAAACAGCTCCTAAACTTTTACGTGTAGTGAATTAACGTATTTTCTTTTTCTCTACTTCTATTAATCGTCCACACGTCGCTATCAAAGTGCAGCAAGAAGACAAGATCTGTAGTCTACATACCTGAAGGAGAGGCCATGTCTGTAACTCGTGGTCGACTTGACGCTGATATTTTTGCCGCGATCCCAGCTGAATATTGACTTTTCCGATTCGAAGATGTGCTAAATGCTATAATTATATGCTAAGCGTATTGGATTTTGAGAGATGGAAGGGTATTTCACGCTTGAATTCAAAATAACTGCCTTTCAGGTAGTGGTATTTTAGACCTCTTAGAAGCA